GGATGTGTGTCCCTACCCTTTTCTTGATGAATTTGAGGGCCTGTTTGTCCTTGGAGACCTTGAGCAACTCCGTGGCACACTGCTCATACGGGGCGAAGCCACATACTACTTGGATTATGACCCGCATGAACTTGATGTTTGGTGAGGCACCCGCTGCAGCAGCTGTGCCTCAGCTTGGTCACATTCTCGGTCACCTTGTGGCCCTTGTTGAGGCCCATGGCCAAGGGGTAGCACAGAGCCATGGCTGGAATTTCAATGGCTGTCACTGCAGAAGGACAGCTTCCCTTGCTGACGCCAGCACTTCACGTATGTTATCTCTAACCCTAACATCAGCCTGTAAAGTGAGGCTAATGAGTTCCATTTGGTAGTAGCGGAGCAAAATGAATGGGCTTTGGAGTCAAATAGTTTTGAATCCTGGGTCTTACTCCAAATAACTATATGACGTCAGGCAAGTCACTTAACCTACCTGATATTAGGCTTTCTTTGGTCGTAAAAGGTGGGGGATGGGGTGTGGGGGGTGCCCTAAACTCGGAGCGTTTGTTGAGAATTCAATGAGATTGAATTAGGTGTTCAACAAATAGTAGCTTTAATCCTACAAAAGAATTTCGGGCTCAGAGAGGTTTACTGACTTGCCCAAGGTCACATAGCTGGAAAGTTTAGGAAGAGAACAAACATTAAACAACACTAGCATTTTCTTTTTCTTTTCTTTTCTTTTTTTTTGAGACAGAGTCTCACTCTGTTGCCCAGGCTGGAGTGCCGTGGCGTCAGCCTAGCTCACAGCAATGCAACCTCAAACTCCTGGGCTCAAGCGATCCTCCTGCCTCAGCCTCCTGGGTAGCTGGGACTACAGGCATGCGCCACCGTGCCCGGCTAGTTTTTTCTATTTTTAGTTGTTTGGCTAATTTCTTTCTATTTATAGTAGAGACGGGGTCTCGCTCTTGCTCAGGCTGGTCTTGAACTCCTGAGCTCAAGCGATCCTCCCGCCTCGGCCTCCTAGAGAGCTAGGATTACAGGCGTGAGCCACCGCGCCCGGCCAAGACTAGCATTTTCAAGTCTGGGCAGCCCCAGTGCAGGGCTCTGGTTGGCGCCACACTGTCTACTGAACTGCTGCCGGCCGAGCTGCAAGAGAGGCGTGCTGAAACGCTGAGCTCCAGCTTGGGTTGCTGGGGTTCGTCTCAAGTCCATACCTAAGATAAGCCTCAAGAGTCCCCCAAATTAAAAACACATCCACAAAGAGAAAGATCTCTTACAGTGCGAGAAAGGCCAGAATGGAGAGGACTAAGGACATTTTTTACTCTAATACTCTGTGTTTCCACCACCTTTAAATCGTTCAGCTCCATGAGCGATGCAAAATCAAACCACCAAAGTCAAAGTAATCATTTCAGCATACTTGCTGCCTGAAACTCAGTTTCCTTCCCTGTAAAATAAGGGCACTGATACCCATCTCAGAAGGTTGTAATTGTGGCACACGGCTCATACCACATGTTCCCCTTCAGAAAGGAAGGGACAGAACCATGTGGGCCCACCTGGCCGGGCCCTACCCTTTTCATAATCACCTGGTGCCACAACTGCCCCCTCATCGTGATGCCCTGGGTGGGGCATGCCGTGGGCTAGACTGGCTTCAGTCTGAATCGTGACCTTGCCTCACAGCATCACTTTGAATGCTGAGTGCCCAAATCTGTAAAATGGGAATAACAACCCCTGTTCCCCAGGGTTGCTGTGAGGATTACCTGAGAGAATTTGCTTGGCATATGGTCTGTGACAGAACAGGGGCTCAAGAAATGTTAGTAATTTTCAAGATTATCATGAACAAGTGACTCTGTTCACCTGTTCCCTTCAAAACACTTATCACAATTTGTAATTCTCAGTGGCTTACTAGCTTAGTCTGTCTCTCCCACCAGACTGTAAGGTCAGGAGAGCAGGGAGCAGGTCTGTCTCAGCCACCACTCAGAAGGTGTTCAATGAACGAAAGAACCTGGTCATATTTGGGAATGACCTATAGAGGGAACTCCTGCCACAGAACTGATGGCAGCAAAGGATAGGGTCTTCAGGACAGTGGACAAACAACTCCCTAGTCAGACTGCTGTATGTGTCAGGAAATCCAGGTACTCTTAGGGGACCACAAGGAAATAATCTATGCTTCTCTACTAAAACTTTCAGCCCAGCAGGTCCAAAGGCTGGGGAGACACTGGTGGAAAAAAACTTATAGAGGAGAAACTTTTTCTTTTTTTCAGACAGAGTCTCACTCTCTTGCCTGGGCTAGAGTGCCATGGCATCAGCCTAGCTAACAGCAACCTCAAACTCCTGGGCTCAAGCGATCCTCCTGCCTCAGCCTCCCAGGTAGCTGGGACTACAGGCATGCACCATCATGCCTGGCTAATTTTTTCTATTCTTAATTGTTTGGCCAATTTCTTTCTGTTTTTCTTTTTTTTGAGACAGAGTCTCACTGTGTTGCCCGGGGTAGAGTGCCATGGCGTCATCCTAGCTCACAGCAACCTCAAACTCCTGGGCTCAAGCAATCCTTCTGCCTCAGCCTCCCGAGTAGCTGGGACTACAGGCATGCGCCACCATGCCCAGCTAATTTTTTCTATATATTTTTAGTCGTCTGATTAATTTCTTCCTGTTTTTAGTAGAGACAGGGTCTCGCTCTTTCTCAGGTTGGTCTCGAATCCTCCCGCTTTGGCCTCCCAGAGGCCGCCAGAATTCACAGGCTGCCAGAATTCCATTTTAGCTGAGGACTACCCGACTTTGTTCTGACTCAGAAGCCCTGAGCTCCTGCTGTAGACCTTTGAATTTCAAAGAAGAGTTACTCACTGGTTCTTGTGTTTGAAGCCGCTGACGTGAGCCTGGTACTGTTCTATGGAGTTCAGCACTATCTTACACGTCTTGCAGGGATAGCCCTTCCCAGCTGAAACACACATCAAAATCAAGATCTTAGTTATTCAATGAGATGGAACCTGCTATTCACAAAATGTACAAAGGCCCTTCTGAGGACTGATGGGTGGGTGAGGTGAGGTGGCTGGCCCTAGTAAGAATCCCAGAAGCCTCTGTGCCCAGGAGGCACAGAATGTCTTCCTGAGGTTGGGAACCTCCTCATTCCCTTCTATGTCTCCAGTCCCAGCAGAGCCTGGCCCAGGCTAGCTGTCTGTTGAGTAAACAAATGAACGCCATTCGGTGTAAATGTCTTTTCCACCCTGACTGTGCTAAGTGGCCTCGTTAAGGATGCCCTTCACTGAAAGATCTCTTGGAAGGTGCCACTCTCCTAGGGCTTGTGATAACAGTAATTAATGAGAATGCCTGTAATAAAAATCAATCTGTCTTTCTACCTTGGGGCTCACAGACACCCTGTCTCACTACCAGGGCTGGTCCAATGACAAAGTGGCCTTTCTCTACATGGTCTAATAGTGAGGAGCCAAGATATGGGACTGGACTCCTGGCTCTGCCTTCATGTGACTTTGGCTAAAGCCCATCCCCTCTCTGATCCTGAGCTTTTCTCGACTGCAAACCAATCATACTACAACTCATAATCATAACACTTATAATAAAAACAGTTGCTATTTATCAAATGCCTCACACTACCAAATGCCATGTACTTCATATACTTTTGTTTGCCCCTCATAACGATCCTGTAAGAGTCACTGCTGTTATTTTATAGATGAGAAAAATAAGGCAGTCACATGTCCAAGAACATAGAGTGAGTAAGTAGCAAACTCAGGCTTGGATGACCACAAAGCCTGTACTCATTTTAGCATGCCAGATGCTAGCTGTGCAAGACAAACAGCTACACACACAACCCGAAGGGCCCTTCTGGCTCTGCCACCCTGAAGTCCCACAGCATTGGAATAAGCTCACCTAGGTTCAAATCTCAGCTCTACCATTCCTTACCTGTGGGACTACAGGCCAGTTACTTAACCTCTCTGAGATTTGGTTTCCTCATTTGTAAAAGGGGGGGTTTCTCTGAGACTCAGGTTCCTCACCTATAAAATGGGGTTCATTATTAGTATCAACCTTCTAAGGTTGTTATAATGATTTAAATAAAAGCATCTGACGTATAATAAGTGCTTGACTAATGTGAGCTTTTATCACTATCATTATTTCACTCTTACAGGTTCTATGAGTCATGCTGGCAAAAAGGGAGTGGTGGGGGTGGTATTTTTAAACAGCTTTCCATAGCAGCTGTAGCTATTATAGCTATATAGTGAGGACATAGACAATCACCTCTACTCTAACCAGTTAGCCAATGTTCCCAGCTGCGTTTGTTTCTCTTGCATCTTCAGGTATTTCTTGGAAGACACAGCCCTTTAAAGCATGTAAGGGGAAAATTATTGCAATCAGTATGCAAGGTCCTTTCTACAAAAATTTAATTTTTTAAAATTAGAGATGGGGAGGTCTTACTACATTGCCCAGGCTGGACTCGAACTCCTCGGCTCAAGCAATCCTCCAGCCTCAGCTTCCTGAGTAGCTGGGACTAAAGTCGCACAGAAAAGCACCTGTAGCAGGAGAATGTCACTCGTCTCAAGTTGACTGAAGTCTGTTTTGCATCCCGCTTCCCCCTGTAGATATTACCTCTGTTCTTTCCTCCCTTTTTTGCTGCCGGGTCTCTTGAAAGAGTTGTCTATATTTGCTTCTCCCTTTCCTTGCCTCTCAAACATTGTGTAACCGATCCCACTAGGTACACACACACACACACACACATACTCTCGTTCTGAGGCCAATGGTGGCATCTATGCTTCTAAACTTAATGGACAAGGCTGGGGGCGGTGGCTCATGCCTGTAATCCTAGCACTCTGGGAGGCCGAGGCGAGAGGATCGTTTGAGCTCAGGAGTTTGAGACCAGCCTCAGCCAGAGTGAGACCCCATCTCTAAAAAGTAAAAAAATAAAAAAATAAACTTAATGGACAAAGGAATGTTTATTAGGCTCCTCATATGTGACCTCCCAACAGCATCTGACTAAACTGGTGACTCCTCCCTTCTTCAAACTCCCGGCTCTTGGCTTTCAGCATGCTACTCTCTTTTAATTCTCTCCTCTGGTTGTTCCTTCTCAGTCTCTTTTGCCATCTCATTTGATTCCACCATTTAACACTGGCATTCTAGAGGACTCAATGTTTTCTTATTTTTACTTTATTATTAAGATTTCTTTTTTGGTTTGTTTGTTTGTTTGTTTTTGAGACAGGGTCTTGCTGTCACCTGGGCTAGAGTGCAGTGGCCTCATCATAGCTCACTGCAGCCTCAAAGTCCTGGGCTTGAGCAATTCTCCTGCCTCAGTCTCCTGAGTAGCTGTGAATACAGTCGTACACCATGATGCCCAGCTAACTTTTCTATTTTTTTTTTTGGTAGACACGAAGTCTAAGTCTTGCTCAGGCTGGTCTCAAACTCCTGGCCTCAAGCGATCCTCCCGCCTCAACCTCCCAAAGTGCCAGGATTACAGGCGTGAGCCACCATGCCCGGCCTTTAAAGGGCTCAATCTTAAACCTTTAGTTCTTTTCTCTCTAAATTCTCTAAAGGGATCTCATTCATTCCTCTGACTTCAATTACCACCTACCAGACAAAAACATATGAAATTACCAATAGTTAATAGTTCCTAACCTATAAAAATGATGAGTCTATATGGTTCAAACTAACATGATGAAAACACAAACTTCTCTTAATCTATACCTCTCCTTTT